TAAAATGCTTACTTTAAATGTGTTAGAGATTACTTAGAAATAACATCGTAAATACAAAAGGATTATGATGTGTGTTGCACTGGTATTAAATATTGTTTTCACTTCTCCTTCAGTTTTTGGTTTGCAATTACATGAAAAAGCAGAAGGAAAAGCTAGTTAAGCAATGTAGTCTCTTCTTTACTCAAGTGCCCAAAATATCAAACAGAATACTTCATCCCAAATGACCTCCACTATAAATAAGATAATTGTACCCTACTATTTAGTGCTTATCCATAATCAGGTCTCATATACAGTAAAATAACGGATGATTAAGCTGACTGCACTTTGCTTTTAATAGTTTAATTTACATACTTAGACAATCATGTTGTAGTAAAAACTTTATGGAGGCATAGTGCAAGCATAAATAATGCATCTTTACAGATTTTCAGCAGGTAGTAGGGAGCAAGCTTGTATGCTAGCCATACCTGAGCTGCAGTTTAGTAAAATGTATGATAAGCTCCGTACCTTTCTCAGGTATAATGCAGATCTCCTACGAGAGTGACACTGCTGACCAGTAAACACATTTCCTTGCACTGCAGTGAACATGTATAATGATTTTGCAGGTGATATTACACGGTAGCACTTGCTACTCATATTTTTAAATTCAGAGCATGGAAGGTGTGTGTCTAAGGTCCCTCTCTGTCACGGCAGAATACATGTAGTCCAGGCAGACATGGAAACATGGTGCCATTTCAATCCCCTCTCACAGCAGAACATAAACAGCTGAATTCCAGGAAAGAAGCAAGTGTGAAAATAAATGCAGACTACAGATTGCACGGAAGTATTGTCACTGGTAAAAAATCTTTTCATTTTCACCTTCAAAACTGTAGTCCACCAGTAAGCTCACACTGCTGGGGACGCCTAGCTGGAATATCCACATCATCAATTTGTCTGTAAGAGGGGCCCAAAGTCCTTCACACAAACAGCAACTACAGGTGTCGTGTCATGGGATTTTCAGATGTTTTTACAACAGTGTAAACTTAAAAATAGGCACGGCGCCAGGTAAATACTCATCAGGTTATCCAGTACAAGGCTACTTCACACAGATTTCTGATGCATCTTGAGCTCAGGTGGAATGCACTGAGGACCAAAGGCGGCAACCCACCTGAGCAGCCTCGTCGTTTTTGGAACAAGATGATCTCCACTTTCATGGTCTGGGCAGAGAAAAGAGTCCTTTGGAACTGTTGGATATTGACACTATTCTTTTAAGTTAATATCTTAAAAATACCTTCCTGATATGTCAGGTGTAAAGGACAAGCAACTTCTTCAGTACAGGAATGAGTTTAGGGAAAAGGAATGCCTATGTGGTTTTGTGATGTAAGAGGAACTTGTGCTATTTTGAAGTAAGATTTAGCATGGTCTACAAGCATATCATGCCTAGAAAGACTGGCAAGGGGCAGGGGGAGGGGGAACGAAAGGTGGGATAGAGATGGGGAGGACACTTAATACAGAAGTGACTGGTCTGTACTCCCCCGGCGTGAGTGTCTTGTTGATGGCCAAAAGTAAAAAGACCTACGCCGAGATGCCCTGTGGCCAACAAGAGGCCTTCAACACACTGAACAACACTTCTTCCTCTCAAAACAACTCAGTCTACCTCTTGAAGTGTTCAGAAAAAACAGAAGGTAAGCTGCTGACTGAAGTACTTCTCCATGTATCAGACAGATTGTTTCCTAGCAGAATATAAGCAATATTGCACCATCCTTCTTGTTGACAGAGTATGTAATAGTTCTGTCCATCATGGATCACGAATGATACCCTTGGGTTTGAGAATGAAATTCTTTGCATGCATTCTGTGCTGCCCTGAAAGCCGACATATGTACGTGAAGTACTTGCACCAGTGGTTATCGACTCTGGCTATCGAAGGTTTCCAAGTAAAACCCTCACCTTGACTGACGCACATAGATTATAAACAAAAAGTCAGAGAAGGAAAACAGAAGCACTGCCTACTGCAAACACAAGTGGATTTTGTCACTGGAATACGAAGCATCTCATTCTGTGAAACAGGTCCCTGGAAATACATAAGCAGATGAGTGTAGACATATCTGAGAGCATTTTCTGGAAAGGGACGTTACCTAGGTGTTCACCATGTAGGACTACTAGACATGAGTATAGACATGCATCTAAACACACAAACAAGTCTTTCACTGTTTGAAAACTGAAACTACTGGGTGGAGAAGCCCTTGCTGGTATCAAGCCTTAGAATTTTCCCCAAGGTATGCTGAGGACTAGACTGGGTAAGGTGACACTTTTTTTTTTTTTCCCTTTTTTCCTTTCTCTAAAGCCTAAGCTCTTGACTGCAGAGTCATCTGGCAAGTTTGCAGGAGTTAGATCACCAGAGTGATCCAACCAGAGAAGGAACAATATCTCCCTTTACCTGAAGTGATCTGTGTAACCACTGCTTCTGAAGGCCTTCACTCCTGCAGAGGATGCAAGCGACAGGGCACTGTAATGATAACATTTTTGATTCATAAAGGAAATCTTCAGTGAAACATCATTACGTCAAAAGAGATGTTCTAAAGGGCAAGACACCAGCCAGTCTTCCAGCCAAGATCAGAAATGGTAAATCTTCCCCCAGATCATCTTAAACTTGGAATTGCAGTTGCAAAGTTCTTTTAAGTCTAGGATAAGGATTCATCTTCCTTTCATTAAACAAGGTCATACTGCCTTTAAGTCTAGCACAAAGGTGGTAAGACATGAAACAGATTTATGGCCTATACTTCTAGCCATGACTTCAGTCTCAGAAGACAGACATCTTTGACTGGTGTTGCAATTGCCCCGTTAGATAATTACACCAGATGGTAAAGCAGAACATGATTTCATTTTTATTGAAAGAGATGGTATGGATCCTTATCACAAAAGCTACCTTGTCTTGATTTTCCCAAACAGCCCTTATTACTGGCAAAAAGTTTGCTGTGTAGATGAAGTACTTGTCCAGAATTTTGTATTTGCTGTTGGCTTCCAAACTAGACTTGGGTAAGAAACTAGATATTTGAAGTTCTTCATCAAACAAGCTTCATTAACAAGAATGGTGATTGTAACTGCTTTAAGACAATGCAGAACACAGAGATGCAACTGGCTAAGATTAGGTTGTACAAAGTATCATCTATCCTCCTCAGAAAGTCTTGAAAAAACTATACTCAGTCTGCTGATGACTATGAACTAGGTCATTCTTGGATCCAAGAGTAAGGTCAGTACTGGAAATGGTGCCATTTGTTCACTACAGTTCTGTGACAGCACTTTTCCTCTTTCACCACTGAATAGGAGGGGTCTCAGATAGCCCCTACAGGCAGCATAATTCCTCTCGGTCTAGAAGTATGAACATACACAACTGTCTGGAGGAAATTATCTGGAACAAAAGCAACTCACATAGAGGGTTTGTTCCAAGCACTTGTGGCAATGAACTAGTCAGAAAGAGGATGGCTGAGGAAACTAGGTCAGTGTCACATATGGTAGGAAATGGAAGAACCACTTCCATATGAGGAACTTCTACTTCACCAGAAGGTATCAGGGTTCTTCAGAAGAGTCATGCACCTTAGCACCTGCTTCAGAAAGGGGGGTCCAAACTTCAGCATTTTCTTTTGGCGTCATCAGCAGAAGTGAGAATCACAGTCTGAGGTCGGTATCTGGACTCAGCTCAAAGCAGAACATCTCACAGCAAAGACCAAATTGGCATCTACATATTTAGAGTTAACCCAATGGTGGCAGTTTCCACTAGGGCACAAAAGGAGACCAGTCACTATGACCACAGAAGAACCAGAGCCTTCACCCCGTGGTAGAAATCTAAACAAGAGTGCTTTCAGAAGACAGCAACATGTAAAATTAAAGCTGGGGGGGGAAGGGGCAGGAAAGGCTAGAAAACCTTTTCCCCAAAGATAGAACACCTCTTCTCTCTACTGCTTTTTGCCAAACAGCAGACACTCTCAGTGTGGGAGAAAGGTCCATAGACAAAACAAAACAAAACCTCACACCTCAAGACTGCAACATAACCTTAGAAGACATTAGTGGCATATTATTGAGTTTAGACTGAAAGTGGGAGAGTTGGTGTATATCAGACATTTCAGACTGCTATAGTGGCAATCACGAAGCCAGGCCACAGCTCTGGCCACAGACTGTAATGGTCAGTATGATGGCCCTATGCATCCATCTGCTGAGAGTGAGAGCACAGCGGGAACACAATCTGCCTGGCTGCAAAGGTCTTGCATCTGAATGATGGAGCTTATATACATCCTAACTGTGAATGTACACAGAGATTATCACTTGACACTCGAAAACAAAGATACTGAGGAAGGGTATCGCAAGGAAAATACAGGAGAGTGTATTAACATATGTGGGTAAAAATTGTGCAAGTTAGAAATTTTTGCTATTAACTGTATGTTTCCAAAAATACCATCAAGGCCACCAGACTTTCCTGGCGTACATTAAGGTAGCATTTTGTTTTGTTTTTACACATAGAATCTACAAGTCAATAGCAACATATATCGCTATGTCATTAAAGAGGAATCATTTCAATTGAGCATAACAGAGACAGGCAATTACAACTGCGCACAGTGCTCACAAATGTAAAATTCTAGCACACTAACCACGGAGATACACCAGCTATTATCACTCAGCACACAACTGAATGAGAGCAATAACCAAAAACATAGTGAGGTAATTTTAAAACACAGTACAGCAAATCCTGCTATTGTAACAACTGGTCTACTCAGAACAGCTGGCTGCTGGGCATAAATCAGTACGACCAAAGATGGCTTTAAAGCTGAACTATGTTACTGCAGCAGTTTCTTGAAACAAAGTCAAGCCAATTAAAAAAAAATATTGCTTCAAACTATAGATCACTGATACCTTTCAAAAAAAATGCCAACTACCTATCAAGCAGCAAAAAGAGCACTGGCATTAAATACATTAGATGAAAAGCAATGTATCTGTTCCTTTTTCAAGCAAGCATTCGTTATTGTCTGTACCTGGCTGATATGTACGGCAGAAACCTGGGCAGAACACACGGATGAGTGGCTTGGAGAGTTTGGTAGAGATTTGCAGGGTCCAATTGAGAGTTGCTGTTTCTTCCTTGTTGCAACGATCTTCTGAGCAACTAAAGAAAAATGAAACATACAGGCAAGTAAGCGACAGTACACACTGTAAAATATGGCATGTCAAAAATACACAGAACGCACAAAACAAGGTTTTCCATTGTCAAAGCTTGCTCCAAAAATTGATTGTAATACATCCAATTAAGATGACAGATGCTGGTGGTCCACATTACGCTCCATGTGAGACTCCAGCTCTGTTCTCCACACGGATGAAATTGCCCCAAAACTCTCACTCTACCAGGTGAGCACCAGAGAATCAGTAATATCCAAGCAAAAGGGGAAAAGACAGGTGTGCAAGTTACAAAAAGCAATACCAGCAATGCTATAACAAGTCCACTATGTGCTTATAACATCACACTGACAAAGCTTATAGTAGTACACATTTTCCGTTCTTCTTTGGGATGTTCTCCTTGCAGACAGTATATAAAAACGAGCAACACTTGACTAACAATCTCGTTCAAGTGCATCTCAGTGCTATTTACTAGTATGATCCTGAAAGACGTCCTACATCAGAGAGTGAGGGTTCATTTGGAAAGTTATCACTCCCAGTCCAAGCAGGTTTAGTTTACAAGAAGGCATGTACTCTCTGCTGCTGAGGAAAGGTGGACTTTTCTTAATTACCAGCCACTGCATCAGGACAATCAGTTTTGGAAACCACAAATTTAAAGCATTTGAAGCAAAGGATAATGGGAATAATAAAACTGATAAAGGGTCCCTGACATAGAATACCTGGACTAGTGGTGCCACACCACACATCACATCCCATTCAAATTCATTATGGAAAGAAGCTATATCATGATTTCTAGTTTTCGCTTTTATTACTTAGCAGCACTAGCACAGCTGGAAAAATGCCAAATTTATTTTGCATTTTATAAAGAAATTTTCTTCAGCATGTAAAGAAAAGCAGCATTTATCAAACGGATACAGGGATCAGAGTCATTAACATCTCTATATACAGTTTAGCAGACTCATAATAGAAGATGGAAACAGAGCTGTTCTAAAATGCACCAACTTCCATACCTCTCCTATAATTTTTCAATTTAAAAAAAGTCAAACTATTTCAGGAATTCATTCTGTGATGCACTGGAATTTTAGTTCATTTTGCTATTCAGCTGAGGCCTGTGGAAAGAGCCCTTTTTAGGTCATAAATACTTAAAAATAAAATCCTTTACACTACATTTGTTGCCTACCTTTTGGGCCATGAATTGAAAATGAAACAAAATTTCGGTCTTCAAAAAAAGAGACTAGTGTAGTAGCTAATCAAAAATACCACTAACTAAATTTAGCTTCCTTGCATGCAGTAATCTTCATGAAGTGAAGCACTTTATGAAACTTGTACAAAGGAGTCTGTAGTCACTCTCACCATCTCCCCCAAAAATGGGTCAGTGAGGCAGAACGTCAACAATTACCGGCATCTACTTAAAAAGTCACACAGAAACTTGTCGTAATTAAACTAACAGCATTCAATCTGTCTTGTTCAGAAAATATAAAAAGATATGCATGTAAATTCCAAGATTATTTTTCCTCAATCTGTTATAACACAGCCAGAGATATTGTTTAGCAGTGTAAGCATACAATTTCTTCTCAAATGAATGCAATTTTAATAACAAACTGGTCCATGGCTTATGTTTTTCATGTAAATGAATGATGGCATAACCATGATTTAGTGAGAATACATTGAATAAAAAATGCCTCGTATATATGAAGAAGCAGCTTCATTAGTTACATCCCACCTCCAATAGGCCTCTTATCATCCTGAAAGGATGATATCAATTAATTTATCTTCCCCTGGCATATTGATCATAACCTTCATCAGCTAATCATGTTTAAATTACAGAGGAATATCGTAGCACTCTGTCATTTCAGACCCATTGGTTTATTGATCTGGAGCCTGGAAAGCCATATATTAAAATATTTTAAAACACATTAGTGAATGCAGAGAGCAAACCGAAGGTCAGATTTTAACATATGCACAGGGATTTGTCTTCATCATATGCGGTAAAGATCTAAATTAAGACCAAAACTGAATTAAAACCACACATGAATGAAAACTACCTTCTCAGCAAAAGCTTCCACTCGCACATGGGAGAGGTAGTTAGTCAAGGAAAATATTTACCTCTTTCCTTCAATCTGAATACAGGTGTGTTTGTAGCATCACATTAACATACATAATGCAGTCTTGCCAAATTATCACTCTAGGAAGGCACAAGGAAAAAAAACGCAAGACAGTCTGAACTCAACTACTCAAATGCACAACCTGAATGCCTAAGTATTACAAAAACAGACACTAAAAAAAAAAAAAAATTTAAAAAGCAAAAAAAGCACAAATTGTTACTCTAGAAATATGAAGAATACTCCACAAAGCAGCTGGAAACTAAACCTTACAGAGCAGCACAAAGGGTAATTTATCCTGTGCACTGTAAAAATGGCAAGATTGCAGTGGAAGATCTCATGTTACCTACTTAAAATTGTGCTACAAATTCTAGAATAGACCGTTCTTAGCCTCAAATTTCTTAGCTCTTCCCTCTGTTAGAAAAATGATGTGCCCCCTAATGGAAATCCCCTTCTGAGCTGCCAAACCTTCCCAATTCCCCCTCCATTTCGGCAACATGTCTAATATCCCCCGCCAGAGCACAATTCCTCCTGCCTCTCCCCTCTCTTCATTAGGCAACCCGCTCTCCTTTGAGACACCAAACAGTTTTTGCTTCTTTCATTGCAGTCATGTAGCCGTCACTCCATAATTAGATTGCATTCAATATTCAAGTGCTCAGGGCTACTTGCCCTTGGATATGATGGTGCTACGAGCTTCAGAAGTACCTAAAGGAGTACCCTGACCCTTCAAAGTTTGCAACATATGAAAGACGTGACTGATCATCTGTGGGGCAATCGCTGGACTGTCAAAAGACCTACTGTGCTCTTTCTAAAGCTACCTTGAGAGAAGAGATGAAACCTAAATCTTGCCCATCAGAAGTCAATAAAAGGGGTTCAGCACATATCTCCTCAGCAGTGCTGCTGCAAATTCACATTTTCTACATCTTCTATTCCAGAGAAGAAAGCCCTGAAATACACAAAACTTAAAATGGCTGGCACTGAAAACCCCACAGATCTGCTAACTCCCGCTGCTGACATCTTCAGACACAGTAGTTAGGGAGGAAAAAAACCACAGTTAAATGGTTGTGTAGCAAGAGAGAAATACACCATAATTACAAGAACTAACACCAGATCCAGAGAACAGCCATGCTATATTGCTTGTTCAGCCCAAACCCCACTTCAGTTATTACATCTTTGTTAGGACTCAAAGCCATCCATCACTCATTAGCCGCTTAGCAGTGGTAGGAAAAATCCTTAAACCAACACATTTTGTTTCCACAACTATATACAAGTACACACTGAATTTATGAGCAACTTTGTCAGAGTACATCAAAATATATCCAAAAGTATGATTTTTTTTTTTCCAAAAGGCAGCAGCACCACCACAACAGTTCAGGCAGCTGAGTGGGTAGGTGGAATCTCTACTGAAAAACACACAGCAATAAATATTGCTCTTCAGTAATGCCTGATGTAAACTGTGGCCATACGTAAACATCTTTTTGCTGTTAATGAAAGTCAACTAGTGTACTTCATTAACCAACTTAAGGCTACTCAGAGTCAAAATCTTCAGATTAGTATTGAAGTGCCTGTAATTGAAATGTCAGTCCAGAGGAAGCTATACAATTAAAACAAACGTTGCTCTATAAAGTGAGTAGCGAATGCAAGAAAGCAGAAATATTTTTGCCGCAAAGCTTTCAGGTTCCATCTCATCCCAAAGATGATTCAGTGCTTCTGAATTTAATGTAAATATACTTGCCAAGATACGTTTCCAAACCAGATGAATACTGACTTAATCTATGTGGCAGATATCAAAAATAATCAAGATAGTAACAAGCATTTCAACTATTTTTAAAAATCAATTGCATTCTCTCTACTTTTACATACTCAATTAAGCTATCAATTTCAGAGAGATTTTTACTGTAAGCCATCTATCTGTAGTATGAAAAGCTAAACAAAATTTAATTGCAAAGTCAAGAACTCTTCTGCAAATAAACAGAGATATGCCAAGGATAGTTAGAGTTGTAAACCAGGAGCACTGATATTTAGCAAATATTTGGTCTTTGGGGAAGACTGATGCTTATTTCTTACACATTTAAACTTAATTTCACAGGCCAGAATGACTAGAAGTTATATTTTGCTTTAAGGCCTTGTTAATTAAAAGCATGTGAAATTCCTGGTCTGCAAGATGAATAAAACGTCCAAGTTGGGGGAGAAAGCTCTTGACTTGAATGCCTCTTCTTCCATGCCTGACCTAGCTCACCAAAACAAAATTAACCTTCCCACCCCCTGCCACTTTCATCTCAAATGCTACTTTTTGTTAGTCAAACTACTCATTCGTAAGCAGCTAACTTCTCACCAGATCGTTTATTGGAAGGACCGTACCACTAGGCAGGAAAGCTCAGTGGTCCAGCAGTCTCTGAGCTGTAAAGCAAGGTTTCAGCGCTCCAGCTCAGCAGATCTGCATTGCAAACCACCACCGTTTCCCTTTGCACATAGAAAAAAGTTATCCGTACACTAATTTTCACTAAACAAAGCTCTCCTATTCTGCTCTCCGGGCGTGGGGCTGACTATCAGAGGACTAAATTCACTCGCGGGAGGAATAGCAGGTCACCTCCTCTCCCCGAAACCCAGAGCTGCGCCTCCATAATGAACCGACTCCTCTTTGTGCTCCGTTTGGGAGCTAATCACCATTAGAAATACTGTTGCCAGAGTAACTGCTCTGACAGAGTTGTCTCTCCTTGGTTCAAAGGGCTGTTCACATGTCAACTTCTTGTGCAGTGTGAGGCTGCTTTGGCGGGGGCAGCCGGGTCTCTAAAATCTCATTAGCGCAGCTTCATTCAAGTATAAGGACAAGGCAGGCAGAGACCTGGGGGGAAAATATTCCTTACAAGAAGTTCAAGACACAAGGTAA